GGGGGGGGGGTGATGGAGAGGCAGAGGGAAAGAGAGTGGGAGTGTAAACACTACACAACAGCTCCCGGCTTTATGTGTACGCTCCTGTGTGTACGTGTTTCTGACAAATATTTTATCATATGCAGTTCAATGCATTTCAAAACTGGAAGCTAAAGAAAATAAATACAAATGTTTCATTGCATGTAAAAATGCCTGTTGCTGTAATTGTGATTGTGCTGGTTATTGCAATAATATGACAAAAGAGCTCTAGGAAAAGTAAACGTGTCAATGAGAATATTTTCACTGAAATGTCTAAAAATATAGAAAAATGCTAATGAACATCTGCAATGATTGCATTTTAATTACAGTCTTGTAGTAGCAGATTACTGCACGAAACAACCAATAATTGAAGTTAAACTTGGAGTAGAGTGTACTGCTGTTTGGCTGCCTCTGAGCTCTGGTGTTTACTGTCTGGGGGGATTATACATGAAGCTGAGGTCAAATTTCGGCTAAGGATTTCCGCTTCGTAAACTGTGTCTGCAAATGTGTGCATTCATTAAATTACTAATGAAAGCAATTTAATAAGTGCATACATTTTAATGCATATTAAAAATTAGTTGAATTGTACTTTTCGTTTGTATGTGATAATTTGAATAAATTTTGAAAATAAAAGCAAGCGAACTTTCCATGGTCTCCTCAAAACATATCTCCACAAGAAGGTAATGTCATCCATTTCAGAAAAGACCTTCAACATGTTTAATTGCTTAGCTGAAACATTCGTCCAAAACAGCTTATACTTGTAGATATTTTATTGTAGAATTTCAGATTAAGCTCGTTGCTCAGAGACACAGTGCACACATCCCACCTGCGACTCGAACCGTGATCTTTTGGATTATAAGGTCTTTAACCTTAATGCTACTTGCTAAATATTTCAACCAAACCATTCTGTAAAATCAAACTAGAGATCCCCAAAACTTGCTGAGTTAAGAGCTTCAACCTTTGCCTTTAAAAAATAAGAACAGAAGGTTAATGTCAGCCCCGGGTATTTTAGGTTATGTAACGTATTCAATTCAGTGCAAGCTTCTTGATATTTGACAATTCTGTGAACTTTTTGTTAGTTGTGCGATGACAGAGGCCGATGGTATAAGAGGATCAGATAAAAACAAAGTTTAAATATATAAAAAAATTGTGGCCCCTACCTAAGAATGATGTAGTTGTTACTCCCTTCCAGACTTGTCGAAACTTTCTTCCACTTCTTGTTGAAAGCGTCTTCCTCACTTCATATCTGTGTAACTGCTGCTCTTGATTGCTATTTTTCCTGTTATACTGCTATTAAATGCAACTATTCATCCTGGCATACGTTGTGGTCTTAAAAGGCGTATGCCTGAGATGCGTGTTTCCTGGTACCAAAACGAATGTACCTATATAATTTTAATCATGTCCTCCAAGTTCATTCAGCCAAATTTTGCGCGTGTGAAACCTGGTGCGTGTCCTTATACCAGCGAGTCTCAATTTACGAGCTAAATCGGTAAGCAATCCATTAATTATGGAAATCGTTTGCATTGTCTATAATTAAAACTGACTTAGATAATGCTTAGGTGAGTGCCAGATTTATGTCAGTTTCGGTCCTTTACCAATCGTCAGAGCTTTGCACAGATGACTCCGGTCGGCTCTGTGTTTTACATTAAGTATAACTACTTGCAAAATTTGCTACCAATACCAGTTGATGAGGAAGGTCAACAACTTATTTGTCGGAAATTAAAATGTTTAACATATAACATATGCACTGTTATCCTTAACAGACACCAAGCATTTGTTTAAATAGTCAAACAGTTCATCATGGCCAGTCTATGGCTAAAACCACCATCAATTAAAAACTTCAAATTGGCAGTAAAACAAGACCCATATACAATACAAATTCTCAAATTTTGTTGGACTATTGTGGCTGGAAACAAAAAGCAACTAAATATTTAATTCAGGTGTGGTTTACACTGCTAGCACGGAGTCTTCAAGTTGAATTCATATGAAAACAAGACTGTCTCGTAGATTACGCTAATTTCAGAATTAGTGTACACATGTGTGTACGAGTTAAATTTCAAAACAGATTGTGCTCATTTATATCTTAAGAAAAACAATATAAAAAATTATTTTGAGGGTTAATCTTTCCGTCTTTCTCTATACATATTTTCACAACGGAGTATTAGAAACACTATATAAATATATTTAAATGCTGGTAATCTTTAAATTTCGTTACAATAAACCATTCAAATCAAATCTCACAGACCGTTTATTTTAAAAACACATCCCTGAGAAGTTAATGTTATAATTCCTCACGAATATTTGGCTCTTTCTTCCACCGCCCCCCAGCCACGCTCCCCGGTACCGGCAGCGGCTGTTCCGTGGCAGGCAGTCCCGCTGAGAGCTCCGTGCTTACGGCCTCTCCCTGATCTTGTTCTCCGTCTTCCTGGCCCCCGATCCTTTCGCAATCCACAATCTGATGCCCGATACCGCTGCCGTTTCCTCGGTAACCTACAGAATCTATTCTGAGGCTAAATTCTCTCATGTTTTGGTTGTATAATGGTTATTAATGTTATATGCCTAATAACTTGCTTCAGCCGAGGAGGATATACTTATTACAATTGCACAATAATAATCATAAAACCAAAAACAGAGCTCTCAAGACTATTTAACATCCACGAAAATATATGCAAACCCACAATTGGACTAAGGCAGTTTTTCAGTAATGTTATTTGTCGATAATATTTCGAAATACCATAGTTACACCATCAGCACAGCAATAAAATCTGAATAAATCATCAGCAAAAGAGCGTGAATGAAGGTTTCTTAATAGGTTTTACCGACGCTGGTTTGCCATGTGCGATACCTGCTCTCTCGAACGTAAAACCGCATGCTGGGCGCGCGTGCATGTGCTGGCGGATGCGTGCATTCTTTCAGTATGCGTGTAATTAAGAGAGTGCGAAATAATCCGTCGTTACTTCACGATGGAAATGCTCGCTTGCATCCCTCCTTCTGAAAAGAAACCTCCGAGATGCAAATATCTGGTTTGGCGAAACTAGGGACGGTCTTCGATCCCACTTAGATTTCTTATATGCAGACTGTCAAGGAATGAATACCCCATCCATGTACATTCTTCACCATCCAGCAAATGACCAAATTAACCCAGGTAAAACATACCATACATCTCAAAGTAAATCATACGCTACAGCTAAGTGACAGCATTATGGGTGTCATCAGTATTTTCGTCACATATCTCTCTGTTAATCCTACACAATATTCCACAATCCAGATATACGGTGGCAAATGATCCCTACAGTTGAAAGAGGCTGGCGGGTTGCAGTCGGGCAGGTGTAATAGAATTTCGCCTGCATCCCACGGTCCCTCGCTTTTCCATTGCATTCACTGTCACTTTTCTAGTAAAGGGGGCAGTGATTTAGAAAGAGGGTGGGAGCAAGAGAAAAATATTACGACACGGAGCGTTTGAAAGTACGAGAAGCCTAATGAACTTTCATCCTCTCCTTTCTTCCCTCCCTCCCATCGCAGCCAGCTGAATACTGAAACTTGGGATGCTGCCACAGCAGTGCGCTCGGCTCGCGGATTGCAGATCAGGCGTTTCGCGTTCCCGTACGCATGTTACATTGTTACGGCGTCAGCTATCCGCCTTCTTCATTTCGTGATTTCTATTACGCGAACACGTTAAGATTCAGATCGTGTCAATTGATTTAATTGATATTTAAAGCGTGCTTGGATGGGTCGGCTGTTTCAGATGCCTATTGCGTTCCCCTAGCAAGCCTCTTTTAAAGCAATTAAATTTAACAGACAGTCCTAAGTAAACGATAAGTATTTCTAAAACGATTCAATTTCCAAATCGTAATATAAATTACTGCTTAGGGTACTGATTTACAATTTCATATATATGAGAGTCATCATTAATATGTCAATAAAACACAATTCCATCAATTCCACGGGTAATTCATAAAGATTAAACATACTTATGGTGGGGAAATTGACGGAGGGCGGTAAAGGGCATATAGGGTAGAAAGTAACGAGTTACTCCCAGGGTTATCTGGATTACAGACATTTAGGTTTTGATGAGTCAGACGAAAAGTGAAAAAGATTTCTGCTCTTGACTCGCCCCATGCATGCACGTTTCTAGAATAAAAATGCATGACTACGACATACTGGGTTGTAATATAATCGAAAGCATGAGATAAAGTAAGAGTAGAAGACAATGCCAGCTTGAACATTCAAGAAAAACCGTTTAAATGCTCTATTCTGGGCAAGCCAAATATGGTGCGCCACCCAAGGTATCGACTGGCATGCAGGTCACTTAAGGCGCTATTGACATTTTCTCAAATGGAAAAACAGGTCAAATCGTCTTATTTTCCGAGACGCGAATGCGAGAAGATAGTAATTATTGTAAATTGCATTTTTTAGACGAGAATCTTTGAAAAGTATGATTGAAGCCATTTAAATAGTTTTTCATTTAACATTCGAATTTTATTCAAATATCGTTCAAGGGAGCATTTAGTATATCCTTATTTTAAATATATATGATCACAGGCTCACCCCAAATTATATAAGTGATTATGGAAAAATGGGTGGATGGGTGGAGGAATGCATGGATGGACATAATTACTTAAAGACTGATGAATTCAATGTTTGGTAAATAATTAGCATACAGTACAATGCTGTGTAAATGTTACAATTTAGTGATGTGACTTTCAGTTTTGCAGATACATGACCTGGCTCAGAAGACTACACACATATGCAATGTTGCTGCATTTTGTGTACTGTGGGTAAACAGGGTCAGACATGTAAGTGAGTCAGAGGCCACACAACCCTCTAGTCTTGCCTGAATACCTTAAATGCTTAAATCTGGAGCTGATGTCAGAGACACTGCAGCCCAGTTAACTACAGTTAGCTACATGTGCATGTATGTTGTTAATCTGTAAAAGTTAGAGAACAGGGTAACAGGTGATCTCAGCTTGGCTCTTTTTACTTTGCCTTATCTGTATGACCTTGTTTTATGCATTTCCTTGGAATTTGCACAATGAGACTTTCTCAGATCAGTCAATCGCATTCTGGGCATATTCCCAAAAACATCAGCATAATTTATGCAAAACCTAAGCCAAACCATACCAGAAGAGCAACAGAATCATCTTGATCCAAACTAGAATGCAGTATGATGCAGCTACCAAATATGACAATTTCCTTTTGGGCTACAGTGCAGGTTGCCATGTGTTTCATTTATATTAAACATACATGTTGAATTTATACACCATCATCTGGGCAAGAAGTTTGCTGCTGGTTTGAGGAAGCAGCCACCATTCAAGCACCATGAACAAAGTATCTAGACTTCGGGGCTAAGAAAAAAATATGCTTTGAAATGGATCTGATCACAAAACCAGGCTGGGTTGCACAAACTACAGCCAATGTCCATGTCATGTGTTTAACTTTGCCTGGGAATGCTGTAGTAGTGGAATTTAAATTGTGGAACATTACACTGGATTGGGGATGACATGCTGAACAGAAATTGTGAGCTTGCCGCTGCATTAGCACCTCCTAGAGGTTTGTCCAGCACTGGTGTGGCTACCAGCAGCCTGTAGTGAGAAAAGTGTGGAGTCTCCCAGCTCTCCCGCAGAATTCTCTGTGACCTGCAGTGTGTAAAAGGCTACTGACTGGCAGGTGTGTGAATCAGAAAAGCACACACTTACTGCCTTTCAAGCTTCAGGTACAGGCTCAGCGTAGAAACTTTGCCATTTTCTCTGTATTATTACTCTGTGTCAAATCAGATCACTAGCAAAATTTAGCCAGAAGTACTCTTACACACACCTCACACATACACGGTGTATGGGATTTTCACCAGAAAAACCATATCCTACCAAAAAAAAAAGATGCAAAGTATTATGCATGCACCATTATGCATCAAGATTTAGGGAAGGCATAGTGAGGGCCTCTGGATCAGGGGTGTTGGAGTGGCACTTGGACCAGTGTAGGTTCCAGGAGGGGAGGGAAAACAAAACAGCCATTGCCTTCTGTTCATCCATTCACACACACATTTTCCAACCACTTTCCGAAGGAGCACTAGCCACAAGGCAGTCGATGCCCTGGATGGGATGTCAGTCAATCCCAGTTTCAACATTTATTAACTTCTTTTATTGTTTTAGTTACTATCCTATTACATTCCATGGTATAAAGCCATGCAATACAGACATTTCTTTAGACAAAAGTATAATAATAGATGCATAGTGTAATGAATACAGTTTGTTTCAGGTGCTGAGCCTTCACTACTAGAAATACTGTATGATATTCCGACAGTATGTTTAAATAGCTGCACATCACATTAAAACATGAGAATGTAGCTGAACGATTTGCAAACTTTCACGAGAAATGGTGCGTATGGGGAGAGGCCATTAAGAGACCTTAAAGGAGCAGAACTGCCTGTGCTGTGTCACCATTTGTGGCTCGTCATGCTGCAAATGTTTCGAGGCAGCGGCGGAGGGAAAATACAATGGGGAGCCTGCTGTTAGAAGGTCTGGGAGAGAGGCAGGATGATACGAAGGGATTAAATGTACGTCTCAAGGGAAATGAGTAAAAGGCTAAAGTGATGAGCTCATATAATTCACCAAGAAGCATTTGAAGGTATAGGAAAAATTTAATTAAACATGTATAAAGAAATGTATTGATAAAAGATACTGTATGAAGTACAATTTATAAAAACATAATAAGTTTTTCAAACAGCAAAGCAAGATCATTTAAACATGAGAATATGTTGTACTACTGTATGTCTTTTATTTTGTCATTTACTGCAGTTGAAATTTTGCCAGAAGCTTGTTTTGTTATACAATCCCCCCCCCCCCCACACACACACACACACGCACGCACACACACACACGCATGCACACACACACACACACATACACACACACACCCAGTTAACCCTTAACAGTTTGGTACAGCTTGGACAACACAGCCAATGATTTGGATGCAACCAGTTCACATTTCTCAGTGTGGAAGGGAGAGAAATCGCTGTCTCCTGTTTCCATGACAACCACAAGCCTACGATTTAGACCTTTCAACCTGTAACACTATTGAGAGGGGACTGGGTCTAAAAACTGGGGAGAAGAGAGGCAGAAACGTGGAAAGTGTGAGGAGGTAGGGAATCAAATTAAGAGAAAACCAAAAGAGAGAGGTGACAGAAGTGTGTAGTACTCCAGCTCTTCCAATTAATGTATTACTCATTCGTGAACATCTCCCTGTCTCCATTCTCTTTGTCTGTCTTTCTGTCTCTTTCCTTCTGCGGTCTCTCTCTCTTGACTCTCTCTCCCTGCCCATATTTCTTCTCTCATGTTCCCTCTCTGTTTAGCGGTCTCTGTCGGTGCTCTATAATTATTACCATGGTTACCATCAGATCAGTGATTTGATTCTAGCCTTTATAGATTTTTTTGTTCTCTTCATTAAACTTTATTTCTGTGTCCCCCTGTTCTTTATCAGTGAAAATATATATTCTTCCATTATTTTAACATTGAAAAGCAAAATATAAATAAAATTACCTATTACCAAGTGAAGGTGGGTAAAAGATTGTGACAGCTGGGTACATATTTTATAATGAAGGCATTTCATTTGGTATTCAACCATCACTGGTGTGAATACCAAATTCTGCCCATTGCATTTCCTTCCAGTCCTCTCCATGATCTCCTGGGTCATGGGCACAAATCAGCAGAGCTGCATATAGATGTGAGGGAGAGATATATGCTGCCCCGTTGAGACCAAAGAGCCAATGTTGTGCTTACAGTTTGCTTGTGTCATGCATAGTCATTAACTTTCAGCACTTCACTGCAAGAAGATACAGCATTTGCCATCCATTAAGTTTTTTTGTGTGTTGTGTTTTATCCTGAACAAAAATGTACACCAGCAATGTGAATTCCTTAAATTCCAAGCAATTTGGATTGCCTGTGTTCATTAATCATAATTTCCACTGTAAAATGACGTCTGGATGGATGACTGTAGCTGTTGTAACAGATTCGAAGGCTCAGATATTTACCCTCCATCACAACAGGATTCACAAGCCAAATTATTTGAACACTGCTCTGAAATCAGCGTTATGGACCATGATTTGTTGGCATCTGTAAGGCTAATAATAAAGACTGATTGTTCAGGGGAGACAGAGGCCCTGTGCTTTAGAAAATCATACCTCTCACTCATGAGAAATGTTGACACCTGCTTCACAGCCGGCCTCAATAAATGCAGCCTTGATGGACAACGGGTGCAGAATACAAATGACTGATATTTCATCCTTGTTATGGAATGTGGCCATTTTCACTGATAAAATTAGCAGTAGTCTAACAGGACCTTCTGGTTAACAGGGATTATACAAGTAAAAATTGCTTTCTGAGGGCCACATAAAGCTTTTGCTTTGCATTTATCTAAATATCTGAGCACTAACCAAAAGTACTAGACATCTTCAAATTCAATTACCTTTAAGCTGAAACAAGGTATATGCAATCGC